AAAATCGTAGCATTTTATTGTTGGTGACAAACGATTACAACATCAAAAAAATAAAGAAAATATTTTGGCCGGCGTTAAAGTGGTGTCGTTGCTGTGTTTGGGATCAGGGTTTGGTCAAATTTTGCCACATATTTTTTTTTTTTTTTTGGGGGGGGGGGGAGGATAGGATGTATTGTTTATTGTTGTAACCAATCGAATTGTACAACAAATCGATTGCTTCTTTCTCATTATATTGTTAGGAATTTAATTGAGTATATCACATTCTATTTTGCATGAATCACCATTGATTTATGTAAAGTGATTGGTTTTTTTTTTTTTTTTTATTTTAATGCGTAGATTTTTTTGTAGTTGAGTTCAGGGACTGTCGGAGCCTTAAACGAGGGTTTTTTAAGTTTACTAAGGATTTTAACATATTTTTTCCATGGGCCATCAGAGCTGCGAAAATTAAATTGTTGAAGGATTTTCCAAAGCTCTAACAGATGCAGAAATGTAGGTCAAACCAATGACTATCGTGTATTTTTTAAAAATCTTCTTCCATCCAGGTTGTTTTTTTTTTAATAACTTTTTTTCAGGACAATCGAGGATTTTTATGTTTTTTCTAAGGATTATCGTTTATTTTTAAGAAACTTATTCCAGGGGCTTTTGGAGCCGAAAACGTTGATTTTATTTTAAAGAATTTTTCCCAAGGCTGTAGGAGCTACAATCGTGGGTTTTTTTTAAGAAATTTTCAAAGGATTATCGCATCTATAAAAATTTTTTTAAGAAAGAGCCAGAAACGTGGATTTTGTAAATATATTTTTCCAAGGGCTATGAGAGCTACAAACGTGGAATTTTTAAGGAATTGTTTCCAGAGTCAAAAACGTGGATTTTAAGGGAATTTTTTCCAGAGTCAAAAACGTGGATTTTTAAGGATTTTTTTTTTTCAGAGTCAAAAACGTACATTTTTAAAGGATTTTTTCCAGAGTAAAGAGTAAGGAATTTTTTTTCCAGATTTTCAAGAATCTTTCCAAAGACACGGACGTGAATTTTTTAACGAATTTTTCCCTAGGACTGTCCGAGAGAAAAACGTGGATTTTTTTAAAGATGGAAGCCAAAAAAAATTGGATTTTTTAAAGAGTTTCTCTTAAGTACTATAGGAGCTACAAACGTGGATTTTTTAAAGAGTTTTTTTCCCAAGAACTATTGTGGAGTTTTTTAAAGAATTTTTCCCAAAGACTATCGTGGTATTTTTAAAGATTTTTTCTCAAGGATGGTCAGAGAGAGAAACGTGGATTTTTTAAAGAATTTCTCTTAAGGATTATCGGAGCCACAAACGTGGATTTTTTTAAAGAACTTCTCTTAAGGATTATCGGAGCCATAAAAGTGGATTTTTTAAAGAAACTTTCTCAAGGATTATCGGGGCAATAAACGCCGATTTTTGAAAATTTTGTCCCAAGGATTATCGGGGCAATAAACGCCGATTTTTGAAAATTTTGTCCCAAGGATTATCGGATTCACAAACATGGATCTTTTTAAAGAATTAGTCCCAAGGACTATTGAAGCAACAAACACGGATTTTTTAAAGATTTTTTCCCAAGGACTATCGTGAATTTTTTAAAGAATTTTATACAAGGACTATTGGAGCCACAAACATGGATTTTTTAAGAAAAAAATTGATTTTTTTTAAAGAATTTCTCTTAAGGATTATCGGAGCCACAAACATGGATTTTTTAAGAAAAAAATTGATTTTTTTTAAAGAATTTCTCTTAAGGATTATCGGAGCCACAAACGCGGATTTTGTAAAAAAAACTTTCTCAAGGATTATCGGAGCCACAAACGCGGATTTATTTAAAGAAACTTTCTCAAAGATTATCGGAGCAATAAACGCGGTTTTTTTAAAGATATTTTCCCAAGCCAGAAACTTGGATTTTTTAAAGAATTTTCTCCAAGGACTTTCAAAGCCAGAAACGTGGATTTTTTTAAAGAATTTTTTCCAAGGACTTTCAGAGCCAGAAACGTGGATTTTTTAAAGAATTTTTTTCAAGGACTATCAGAAACGTGGATTTTTTAAAGAATTTTTTTTTTCAAGGACTATCAGAAACGTGGATTTTTTAAAGAATTTTTTCCAAGGACTTTCAGAGCCAGAAACGTGGATTTTTAAAGATTTTTTTCCATGGACTATCAGAGCCAGAAACGTGGATTTTTTAAAGAATTTTTTCCATGGACTATCAGAGCCAGAAACGTGGATTTTTTAAAAAAATTTTTTCATGGACTATCAGAGCCAGAAACGAGGATTTTTAAAGAATTTTTTCCATGGACTATCAGAGCCAGAAACGTGGATTTTTTAAAGAATTTTCTCCAAGGACTTTAGGAGCCACAAACGTGGATTTTTTAAAGAATTTTCTCCAAGGACTTTAGGAGCCACAAACTTGGTTTTTCTAAAGAATTTTATCCAAGGACTATCGGAGCCACAAACGTGGATTTTTTAAAGAATTCTATTCAAGGACTATCTCAACCATAAACGTGGATAAAACCTTATTCCAAGGACTATCGTAGCCATAAACATGAATTTCTAGTTTTCCAAATGACTATCGATGCTACAAACCTGGGTTTTTTGAAGATTTTTCCAGGGATTGTTAGAGTCATAAACTTGGTTAGAGTCATCTTTCGAGGAATATCTGAGACTCTAACATGGATTTTTAAGCTTTTAAGCTCTTCAAGTGGACATTTAAAGGGTATCTTTCAGGGACTATTTCTGAAGAGATTTCAGAATCCTTAGAGGATATATTTTAAGGATTATTTGGGCTCTTATGCTCTCTCTCGCCATTTCAACGATCATCCGAGTTCCAAATTTGGCCTTTTTGATCCTAAAATGTCTATCTTTAGAGCGCACATTTAAAGGACTACCAGACCCTCAAACTTGGAATTATTAGAGCATATGGTTCAAGGACTATCTGAGCCTCCTCACATGGATAGTTTAAGTTGACTATCTGAGCTTCTAATTTCAATTTGTTAAGTGAATCCTTCAAATCTTGAAAGGACTAATTCAGAGCACAACAGGGATCTTTAGAGCATATCTTTCAAGGATTAACTGATACTCTAACATGTTCTGAGTTCGTTTTGAGTTCCTTATTTGAAATTTAGGGAATATTACTCAGGGACTCCTAATATAATTGTTTAGACCACTAACTGAGCATCTAAAGTATTTTTAAGCCTATTCTAAAGGACTATCTAAACCCCTAGCTTACATGTTTAAAGGTGGATCTTTCACAAGGATTTAACCAGGGCTTTTAAAATAAATATTTGAAGACTTATCCGAGGCTCTTACTGTCCCTACTTCCATATCCTTTAAAGATTTTCTGAACCTCGACTTATATGATTCTTATATGTAATGAATTCCCACAATTATAGGGAAGAAGGTAAAGAAAAAGAATTCTATATATAGAAGACCTGTAGCGGGTTGTCATCTCTGGAATACCGATAGAATATCTCATATCTAAGGATGAACTTTTGAAATTCTCCTATATAAAAAAGACCTGGAGAAGGTCCTCTACATATGGAAATCCTATCAAAAAGAAGAACTATAGTGGGTATCCTATTAATGAACGCCGATTGAAGGTGACATATTTACGAGTTCGTCTATAAAAGTTCTTTGATTGCTGAAGAAGAAAATTTCTTATTCGTAGAATACCTATTAAAGTCCATAAAGTCTTCCCTATTTAGAAGACCTATGCGACGTATCCTCTCTATAGAAAACCTTTGATAAGTCTCATATCTATACAGGATTTATAGAAGGTCTCTCATCTACAGAAATAATATAGAATGTCTAAAATCTGAAGAAGATCTTCTACCTACAGAAGTCCTGTGGATCTCTTACCCATAAAAATCCATGGAAAAAGCATAAAATGTCTGCAACATAAATCCTATAAAATCACATCTATCTCTAGAAGTTAATGGTCGCATACGACCTTGGAAGGTCTCTAATCTAGAGAATAACAATAAAAGGTTTTATATCGATAAAAGTTAAAAAAGTCTGTTATATAGAAAAGGCCTGTAGAAGGTTTTAGGCTACGGACGATGAAGGTTTCCTATTTCTAGCATAGATCTTATCAAGAGAAGGCTTATATAGTACCTCCCATTTAAAGTAGACTAATTGAAGGTCTTAAACTGTGGGAGATCTCTAGAAAGTCTCCCATTTCTAGAGGGCGTATAAAAGGTATTCGAGTTGTAGATGGTTTCCCATTCATGGAAACCCGATAAAAGGTCTTCTCTCCACAAAAAACCTATTGAAGGTCACCCACCCATAAAAGAGCTATAGAATACTTCTCACTTATAGAAGTTCTACTATCCCCTAAAATGTTCACACACCTCATTGGTCAACCACAAAGGAAATCCATTGAAAACGTTTATGATGTTTTCCCTACGCATCATTCACTTTGTTGTTGTTGTCTTCTTTGTTCGACTTGGCTTTAGAATTTCCACTTTATTTTTCAAACTTTCCGAATCTAATTATAAATTTAAACGTTTCCCAATAACAGCGAAAAAAAATTGAAAGAAAAACGAAACAAAACAGAAAATTGTCGCTCTACAAAGAAAAAAAAGCAACATCAAAAAATAAAAAAAGCGAAAATTAATCAGAACAACAATAACAGCGACAACAACAAACGGCAACCTATAAAGTACTCAGTACAGCCGTGCATTGAATTTGAATCGAATTGGTTTGGATTGAATTTGAATTTGAATAGAAATGAAACAAAATTTGCCGCGTTGTTGTTGTTGTAGCGAAAGACGGCAACGTGTGATTTTGATTCTCTTCTGATGTTGCTGCATTGGGCCACTTTGTTGTTGTTCTTGTTATTTTGGCAACATATCCACCACCACCAGCATCATTTGCAAGCAGCATGGGTGTTTTTTGGTGGCAACATCAGTGGCATCTGAAGCAGCAGTGGCAGCAGTAGCCGCGATTTTTTTTTTTGTTCAAAACTAATTCGATCTGATCGAAAGGTAATTTTTTAATTGATGCAAATCAACAGAGTTGAGTGATTATCGTGGTGCGCTAACGTGAACAACACACATTTTTTCGGTCCGGACGATAGTCGTAGTCACCGATTTTCTCTTCACAACAACACAGCTTTTTACAATTTTAAATTTTTTGTAGTTTTCCATATTTATCTCCTGTTTTCACCAAGCGGGGTGGGTCAATATATACAAAAACCGAAAAAAAAAACAAATAACAAAAACAAAGTTTTGGAGTGAAAACAAGAATCCGTTAATTAAAAATATAAATATTTGAAAAAAAATTGAAAAACCAAATTAAAGATAACCTCAAAAGGATGGAAAAATACTGCATCTGAATACAAATCTCTGTTAAAAAAAAAAATTGAAAAAAAAATTAAAATAAAATTTTTCAATTTCTAGTACAGCCCTTGAAAGGATATTTCTTCGTGACCTATCGGATTAACAACAAAGACTACACAAAATGGTGAGTTGAAATAGAAAATGAAAAGTTTTGAGATTTTTTTTCTTGTAATTTCGGTAATATTCCTTTTGATCCGAAATACTTTTCTGTTCGTCGTTTTGTTTCTCCTCTGCTGTGCCGTGAAATTCCTTGCCCAAGTGGCCTTGATTGCAGAAAATAACATCATTAATCAAATTAATTGTACTCATTTATTTTAGAGGTTAAATGTAGGATTTTTTTCTGCGTGCCACCATTCGTTTCAACTCGAACTATCGAAGAATTTCGAAAAAATGCACGAAACGGTGTAGAGAAAATGCAAATTTCGAAAAGAAAACTGCAATGCAAAGCGTAGATAGAGAAAATGGCGATGCAAGTGACATTTTTGTAGGTTGGGGATTTATATATTATGTAAAACTGTAGAAATATTGTAGATTGTAGTTCTATTGTTATTGAAGCTCATGAAGCTTGCCAAACTGATCCACACGTCATCCTGTAGGGGTATGCAGCCCAAAGGAAGAGCTTAAAGTGTATGATTAAATTTAAATGGTGCAACCACTTTTTAATGCCTCTAAAATAGGCTCAATTTCGTAAATAACGTCGCTAAATCATCAAAATACCGAATATCGGGAGGTGCGGTTATATGGGGGCTATACGAAAACGTGACAATTTTCTGTCTTAGGCTGTAGCACCCATTAAAATTTTCAAATACAAAATTTGAAACAATTTTGGCGAATAATGTCGCTAAAATTATCAAAATGTCGAATAAAAGGAGATACCATACTATGGTGGCTATACGAAGACGTTGTCCTGCATGAGTAATTTTTTGTCTAGGCTGTAGTACCCATTAAGATCTTCATATACGAATTTTGAAACAATTCCGGCAAATAATGTCGCTAAAATCATCAAAATACCGAATAAAGGGAAATATTGAAGGGCTATACGAAGACGTGGATCTGCATACAAAATGTTTTGGCATAAGCTGTAGCACCCATTACAAAATTTGAAACTATTCGGGTGAATAATGTCGCCAAAATCCCCAAAATACCGAATATCCGGAGGTGCCGTCGTATGGGGGCTATACGAAGGCGCAGACACGCATATGAAATTTTTAGGCATAGGCTCATTATAAAATTTTAATATGAAATTTGAAAAAAAGACAAAAACAAGTAAAAAAGCTGTAAGTTCGGCCGGGCCGAACTTTTAATACCCTCCACCATTTGGTACAAATTTGGCAATTTCCAAAAAAAAAAAAAAATAAATAAATAAATAAAATAAAATCCGTTAAAAATTCTGTTAAAATCTTAAAAATACCGAATGCCTATACGACGACGTGGACCTGCATAGGCAACTTTTGACATAAGTTATTACAATATTTAAATGCGAAACTTAAAGAAAAATCTGTTTATAATGTAGCTAAACTCATCAAAATACCGAAGAGGTGGACCTGGATAGACAATTTTCTGGCATGGGCTGAAGTATCCATTACGAACTTCTCATGTGAAATTTGAAACAATCCCGGTAAATAATGTCGCTAAAATCATCAAAATACTGAATATCGGGGGTACGGCATATGGGGGCTATACGAAGACGTGGACCTACATGGCCCATTTTCTGTTTTATGCTGCAGTATCTATTACGAACTTCAAATACCAAATTTGGAACGATTCCGTTAAACAATGTCGCTAAAATCATCAAAATACCGAATGTCGGGGGTTCCGTTATATGGGGGCTCTATGAAGACGTGGACCTGCACAGATAATTTTCTCTCTTAGGCTGTAGTATCCATTTCGAACTTCAAGTGCCAAATTCGAAACAATTCCGGTGAATAATGTCGCTAAAACCATCAAAATACCGAATATCGGGAGGTCCTGTTATATGGGGGCTATATGATAACTTGGACCTACATGGCCCATTTACTAACTTAACCTGTCTACTGGCAAAATATACATGTGTGCAAAATTTTAACTTTCTATCTCAATTCGTTCGAAAGATAGTGTTGTTACAACGGACAAACAGACGGACAGACAGACGGATATCGCTAGATCGTTTTAGAATTTTACGCTGAGCCGGAATATATATACTTTGTAGGGTCAATTATGAATATTTCGAAGAGTTACAAACGGAATTACAAAGCGAATATACCCTCCATACAATGGTGGAGGGTGTAAAACATATACAGGATGTGAAATAAGAGTCCTTCTGGTACCTTCCCCTTAGCAGGTCAACATTTTGAATATTTATTACTCATTTAAAACGCGAAATAGGGATCCAATAGATCCAAATCCAAATTTCGCACTTCCCAATAATTTTACTAGCACAAAATCTGTTCTATAGATGAGATATACCAGTCTACTCCTTCTTGTACTTCCACCAAAAAGGTGTTTAAATTTTTATTAACCAAAACGCACTAAATCTAATGTAAGCATCCGATATTTCTAAAATTCTATACATTTCTATTGACGTAATATCGTGTGAAGATGGGATATGTCGGCTCACTCCTTCTGGTACCTCCCGCACAAAGAGTCAACATTTAGAATAACCAAAACGCTCATAACTTCCGAAATAAGCATCCGATTCTCTATAAATATCACGCATACCAATATTTATTTCAACACGAGGTCTGGTGGAAGATGAAAGACATCGGTCCACCCATTGTGGTACCTCCCTCACAAAGGGTGAAGATTTCCAATACCTATAACTATCATAACTTGCAAAAGAATTGAGCCATTCTATTCAGACTTGGGCTACCTACATATTTTCCTCAGCCAGAGATCTGATGTGAATGTGGAATTTATCAGCCTCTCCTCCACCTCCCCCAGGTACCTCCCTTACAAGTTATACATTTTTAATAATTATTCTCATAACATTTAAAATAAATTTTCGAGTTTCTTTAAATTTAGCACATCCCAATAATTTCATATCAGTATCATAAAGTGGGGGAAGTTGTAGATATGGGCATAGGTCAGATACGAAATGTACTTCTTTAGAACCTCCCCCATAAATGGCCAATATTTTGAATAATCACAATGCAAGTCATTTCCGCTGGTAGAACAATCTCCATAGATCTGAAACCAAAATTTTCCAGAAATCCATGTTCGCTAAAAGAACATCTAATTATACTCTCAGCCATATGGCGTATCAAACGATATATACCCTCTATATATCGTTTGATACGGCCAAAACGTGCCTCATCGGAATAACTGTTTTACACCCTAGGTCTCTTTGGACCAAATTCGATTCGGGTCATTTGGAGTCGATCTAGCGATGGACGTCCGACTGAAGGGACTATCCGATTTGATCCAAACTTGGCACATCGCAATATTATTATCAAACGTAGATCGGCAATATCGGTTCACTTCTCGGTATCTCCCCCACAAAAGGTCCAAATTTTCAAAAATAAGTATATTTTACTGCATAAAAAGAGAGACGATAATCCAATTTTGCTCCAACTATGCAAATCCTAGTGTTTGCATCAGTGTTAGTTCAGGTGCGAAAATTGACAATACCGGTCCACTCCATCAAGTACCTCCACCACAAAGGGTCAACATTTTGATTGATTATAAATTTTATAAAATGTGATGCAAGATGTCATTGTCAAATATCACACATCACAATATTTTTATTTACCCAAGATCTGGAGTGAAGCTGGAATATATCGGTCTACTCCTTCTGGTACCTCCCCCACAAAGGGTCAAAATTTTGAGTATCCATGAAGCTAGTAGAACACGAAATTATCATTCGACGCCATTTAGACTTGACACATCTCAATATTTCCATCAACACAAGATATATTTTTAAGATAGAATAGATCGGACCATTTCTTCTGGTATCTCCCCCAAAAAGGTACCTCCCCTAAAAGAGCGAAAAACTTATAGAACTCTCTTCACACATCCAAACACTTTTGCTAACCCAAAATCAGTTGTGAAGATGATATATATCTGCCAACCCCTTCTGTTACCTTACCCACAAAGAGTCATAATTTTCAATACTTATATCTGTCGTTATTTGCGAGTCAAATCGGCGATTCTATATAAATTGCTATATCTACATATTTCTCTTTACCAGAAATCTGCTTTGAATATGTAATGTATCGGAATTTATGGTTTCGTATAAATTTGGATATAAATGTTCCCTTAAATTTTGCACATCTCAATATTTTTATTTGTGTTAGATGAAGTGGAATATTTTGTTCCGCACATACCACATTTTGCAAAATTTTTCACATATCTCATTTAAAATATAGGAAGTATATGATATAGTTCATATAATGCACATTGTTGTAATTATATTAGACTTTGGTAGGATACGAATTTGACAATATTGGCCATATATCAAGGCTGTGGGTATACATCTGTCGGAAAAAATCGACTAATTCTATTTAACTTAAATTTCACTGATCTAAATAACGTTTTTATTTTCTTTCATTATCGAAAATCTCAATATTATGATGGTACTACAGACAGAACAAGAATACGACAAAGAGCAATTGAGAAGTAAGTTATGCCCTTTTCCCAAGCTCCAAAATATTGTAGTTTTTTCAAAACGTATCTAATTCCCTTTTTACAGTTTTGCGCAACGCCTTCAAAGCCTTCGACCACGAGGACAAAGGTTTCATCGATCACAGTGATGTTCATCAAATTCTCGAAATTCTAGGGCAAAAACTAGATGAAAAGGCGGTAAAGGCCCTTATCAAAGAGGTTGATAAGGGCAACACCGGCAAATTGGATTTCAGTAAATTCTGCAAATTGGCTGCCCGTTTCGTCGAGGTTGAGGAGGATGGACCGGTGTTGATGAGCGAGCTGAAGGAGGCCTTCCGTGTCTATGACAAGGAGGGCAAGGGCTATCTGACAGTACAAACATTGCGTAGTATTCTGCATGAATTGGATGATAAGTTGTCGAACCAGGACTTGGATATGATCATTGAGGAAATTGATGCTGATGGTTCGGGTACTGTGGATTTTGATGGTAAGATACATTTTCTTAGATATATATTTTTCGAAATTAATGAGCAACTAATTTGTTTTTTTTTTTTTTCAGAATTCATGCAAGTGATGACAGGTAAAAATTTGCATGACATTTTTGTGCATCAACGTTTTACGTTCCAATACCCCAACTCCCCCGCTCCTGCTATTCCAATTACCCCCAGTCGTTGTCCTTGTCCCTCGCATCGCCAGCTTTTGCATCGCCGCTTGGAAATGCAATGCCAACGTGTCCTGCAACAGCTGTGGCAACCCTTTAGCAATTTGCATGAACGTTGTGTCCAGCGCTATGTCTGGCATGTCCAACAGCCAGCTTCCACTTATCGACCCTCATCGTACAAAGAAACAATAATAACCACCAAAAATGTGTCATCGTCCTCATCACCATTGCCAGCTATGTCGTCGTCATCGTCTACGTCTTCGTCAAGTGTCACATATTGTCGTCCACGTTTCCGTCCCCGCTTCCCAAAATGGGTACCCATTTTGACATTGTACCGTGAGATAATTCAAAATCCTTTCCGGCGCCATCGTTGTCGTTACATGATAACCCATAAATAAGTTTTGTGGGATTGGATTTGAAATTAAGTCATTTTAAGTGTTGTTTTTGTTGTCGGTTTTTAAGTTAGTTCCTGTTAACCCATCACTGCCATGGCACATTCATATTTTGTTATAGTAACATAAAATAACAGTTTAGGGTTTTGAGAGGTAGGATTGAGAAATTAAAGGGGTCTCTGTCTATCGAAAACCTTCTAAGAAATATTTTGTAAATTTAATTATCAAGAAATATCACTGAAAAGATTTTTACCTTTATTTGGACAAGATTCTGCCTACAGAAACCTCTTTAAAAATATTTATCTACAGGAGACTCCTTGCAAATACAAAATCGTTCTCAAGACAATCAAAGCCGTTCTGTGAATTCAAAAAAAAAAAAAAAAAACGTCATAAAACCCCACTCGATTTACGTTTTTACATAGAATAATGAAGAATGGCGCCCAACGTAATAACACAAAATATTAAAGTGGACATTTTTTCCAATATAAGAAAGTAAAGGCTGTTGTCCATCGAAGATCAATTAAGAGGCGCTCTGTCCATATAGCGCCCATAAGGAGGTTTCTGTCCTTAAAAAATCCTTAGGGATCCTTCTGTCCATCAAATATCCCATAAGGAGTCTTTGGTCCATAGAATATCACTGCAAATATTTTCTATACATCGGAATACTAAATGGAAGACCACTTGGCGATATTTTCTTCATAATGTAGACCCTAAACCTTTGACATGTGGAAGACCTATTGATGGGTATTCCATAGAGAAGACAGTATATTTTCTATCACTTTGAGTGTTTTCCTTGTACCTAGAATTTTCTTCAATCTAGAGGTGATTTCTTCAAGAGACTCCCAACTTCAGGAGGCCACTTGTATGGCCTTGTACCAATAGGTGCAATGTTTGATCAACAGATAAAAAATTCCTCGATGTCTCTCTTTTTTAATTTGTTTATTATTTTAGAACATACAAATACTTCCTTCAACTTATGGACGATTTTCTCTTGGAAATTCTATATACCGGGGGATATACGCTTTGGAAGGTCCTCTACATATAAAATATATGGTCGATTTAAAGTCCCTTTCCAAGGGACTTTGGTATATACAAGTCTCTGAAGTTAGTCCTTTTCTTTGAAAATTTTTCCATAGAAAGCCACTGGAGTTGCCTTACTTTTAAGGGTTTACCTGAAGGTTTTTCTGCCTGGAGGTCTCACATGGCAATTTCTTCAATCTGTAGCCGATTTCTATAAGATATTTTTATATATAGGATACCCCTTAAAATACCTATATTCGATGGCTTTTTATATATCAGAGTCCCTACTGGAAGGACACCTGCATATAGGAAACCGGTTGATTATCCACCTACTTGGATGGTTAGGGAATCCTTTTCCAATCCAATTTCTTCAATCTGTGGCCGATTTCTATAAGATATTTTTATATATAGGATACCCCTTAAAATACCTATATTCGATGGCTTTTTATATATCAGAGTCCCTACTGGAAGGACACCTGCATATAGGAAACCGGTTGATTATCCACCTACTTGGATGGTTAGGGAATCCTTTTACTTTTCACTTCCATTGGGAGGTATATTTGAGTTAATTTCAAGGACCACCTATCCAATCCGAGGAATGTTTCTTACATTCTCCCTATTGAAAGCACCGACATAACCTATGGACGACCTTAAGAAGGGTATTTTTTTAGTTTAGAACCCTTAGAGGATTTTACTTTACAGGAGAAGAAACATTATTTTTTTACAGCCCGAAGAAACATTATTATGTTGGGCGCCATTTTTAATAATTTTTTTGGTAAAACCTAAGTCCATTGGTTTGTTTTTGCTGCCTTTCATAATTGGTGTTATTTGTGGCACAATTCTCAGGATCGCCAATAACATTGAGTGTAATTAAGTAGATACGATTTGTTTTGTCCAATTGCACCGAGGAAGATCAGAATTAGAATTACCATTTATTTATAGAATACAATTTAAAGGTCCTCCGAAAAAAGTAAACAATTTATAGTTGCTTCTATTGATAGACTCCCGTTGGAAGGTTTTTCTATGGCAGACATTAAATTATAGAAGAGTTTCAACACGGATTTAAAATCGAAAAATTATTTCTTGAAATTTTTAGTCCCAAAAGTCCTTCTTAAGGGGTTCCCGACATTAAAGGACTTATCGAACTATAAATTATATTAAAAATACCACTTGGAGAATCTTTCAGCGATATGACACCTTATAAAGACCCATTTAAACGTCATACATTTGAGGAAAACCTCGGGAAAATAGAAGACAAAATTGGGAATTAAAATTCGATCGATGTTTATTAGAAATGAGAAGAGAAATAATATTGAAATCAAGTCGTTGCAAAAAATAATAAGAAATGGCGCCCAACGTAAAAACAAGAAATATATTTGGGGAAAACTAATATTTCTAGTTATTATGTTGGGCGCCATTTTAAATTATTCTTTGATAAAGCCTAAATCCATATATTCCTACTGCTTTCCATAATTGATGTTATTTAAGACTTAGGTTATCAGGCCAGCCAATAACATTGACTGCAATTAAGTAGATCAGATTTGTTTTGTCTAAATGCTCCGAGTTCTGCAAAGTTTTACAAACCTAAAAAAGTAACTACATTCTGAGAGGTTAATGTCTTGAAAGTCCTACGGGCGTAGAGCAGAATTAGAATTGTCATCTATAGATAGAAGACATTTCCAAGGGCCTTTCTCCGACGAAAAAAGGTTTTTTTGAAAGGTTTTCTATAGAAGATCTTCCATAATAAAAGAGTTTGAGAGTTTTAGTTACAAAAGTCCTTCTGAAGGGCCTTCCGGCTATAAAAGACCATTTGAAGAATCTTTTATCGATATGACACCAATGGAATGTGTTTCTCTTCATCGATTACTCATGAAAATTCCTTCAACCCCTTGAAGATACCTTGATGGAGTCTCATGCTAGTAAAAGGTGCCTTGACTGCTATTTTATTTATAAAGGTTCTCTTGGGGAAGACCACTAAAGAGTTATACTATTTTTTAAAGTATAATAAAATATAAAATTTTAAAATAACATTGAAGTCAGGCCTTTGCCAAGAATAATTAGAAATGGCGCCCAACGTAAGAACAGCAAATGTATTGGGTGAAACTAGAATTTGTAGTTATTACGTTGGGCACCTTACATCGGAAGGCCTTCAACATATAGAAGACACCTTGATGGAGTCTCTAATAATATAAGGTACCTTGAGTGTCATCCATTATAAAGGCCCTCTTTTCAAAGCAGACACCCCGTAAAAATGAAAAAAAAAAACTTAAAACAATTTATAAAATACCACTTACTTGTCAAGTTCTCGTTAAAAGCTCTACATCTTCCTAAAATTGATTTTTTTTTTCTAAAAAAGAAAAAAGATTTTTTGATGCTTGATCAGATTTTAAAGAAAAACTTTTTTCCGAGAAGTAAAGAGGACCCATAGAATGCCCTTTTATATAAAGAAGATCCATGAAAGTAATTTTTTCTATAAATTCTAGTCAAACCCCTTTGAAAATCTCTCATCCGCAGACATCATTAAGTTTTTTATTTCGATCTGTGTCTTTGAAATGTCTCCGAATTTAATTTTTTCTGATATCGATCTAAGAAATAATCCCAAAGATTAGGGAAAAATAATTTAAAGAGAATGGTAAAATTCATTTCTTATTTTAAAATTATTTTTGCAAATTAATTTTTAAAAAAATACCTGAAAAAATTAAAATTTATTTATCCATTATTTAAACATAAAAAATATTCCGAATCTATTTCCAATATTTCACAAAATTAACAGAAGCTTTTTGCTGAGCGTACCCATACCCTGTTTGTGTGCATGTTTATTGCCCCCTCCTTGATGTGTTCTTCCATTTCTTAATCTATACCAATTATATTTTTCACATTTTCTTTGCTAACGATTTCTTTCCAGGTTAAATTTTAAGTTCTCTTCATCATTTTCTTCATTTTGGCTCCGATTTAGGGGGCGGCTTTGGAAGGCAAAGAAGACATAAACAAACAAAATATTTATTTTTCTTATTATTTTACAAAAATTTTGTTTAACAGCATATTTTATTTCCACCTCAGTGTTGAATCAATATTTACCAACCAGATTTTTTTGATTTAGCTGAAATAAAAAGAGGAAAATTATGAAATTAGATTTTTAGTTAAAAAAATTAATTATTTTTATTTGTTATTCCACTGTAAAAAGTCACCATACTTAATAAAGAAATGTATTCTTAAAAAAACTAAAATAAATAAAATTAAATGTGTTTTGATTTGAAAAAAAAAATTAAAATAACAATTTGTGTACTTCTACAAAAGAAGAGGCAAAAAAAAAACAAGTAAAAAAGCTGTAAGTTCGGACGGGTCGAAATTTGAATAACCTCCACAATTTGGAACGAATTTGGCAATTCTCAAAAACAATAATATCCGTTAAAAATTCTGTTAAAATCTTAAAAATACCGAATGTAGCTGTTACCTTAGGGTAGGTAACATTTGGCATAAGCCATTACAATATTCAAATGCGAAACTTAAAAAAATCTATAATGTCGATAAAATCATCAAAATACCGAATATCGGGAGGTGCCGTTTTATTGGGGCCTATACGAAGACGTGGACCTGCACAGACAATTTTCTGTCACAGGCTGTAATATCCGTTACGAACTTTAAATACCAAATTTTAAACAATTTCGGTGAATAATGCCGCTAAAATCATCAAAACACCGAATATCGGGAGTATCGTTATATGGAGGCTATACGAAGATGTGGACCTGCACAGACAATTTTCTGCCATAGGCTGTAGTATCTATTGCGAACTTCAAATACCGAATTTGAAGCAATTCCGATGAATATTGTCGCAAAAATCATCAAAATACCGAATATCGGGAGGTACAGCTATATGGGGGCTATACCAAAACGTGGACCAACATGGCCCATTTTCAATACCAAATGTCCTGCAGACATAATATTCATTTGAGTAAAATTTTATCAATCTACTTCCACAGACATCCACAAAGTTAATATACCCTCCATACTATGGTGGGGGGTATAAAAACGTCGCACCATACAACCTTTGTGTGACTCTTCTACCTTTAGAATTCCGCCATGTGATTATTTACAGCTAGTCCCAAAAGTGTGGCATTTACAATAACCAAAAGGATTAATCAAATGGTTTTATGGTTTGCAAAATTATCGGAATTTTTAGGGCCATTGGCAAAGTGTAATTTTACAAATTTCATTACAGCCACCTTTTGTTGTGGAGAACGTGAGAAATATGCCATAAAATATTATTGGCAATTGCGGAAGGTAAAAAAACACCTAGACTATGAAACAATTTCCTTGCAACTCATTGAGGCATTTTTTGCTTATTACGTTGGGCGCCATTTATTCTTTGCCAAATCACCTAACCTAATTTCAATGGTATTTTGCTACTGGCTTTTCTAATTAATCTCGATGCGATTTTACAGAACTGCTCCCATTTTAGCTCAGAGGTGCGTAAAATTGCGCAAAAATTGGCCGCCCAACAGAATGCCACAATTCCGACTCAAGTGGTAACGATTCCTGTAAAATCATAACGTCAACATTAATCGACTGCAGAATTGAATGCAATCGAAAAGGCGGTATGACGTGACAAGTGTTCGAAGTGCCGTATCGCATTGATGTTGTTGTTAAGTTTTGGGTTTTTCTCTTTTTCGCATGAGCAAAAATCCGAAATCGTAAACAAAAATTTAATGATCTTGCCCTGGCTATTTAAGGTAAGGCAGGCAGGCAGGCAAGCCACCAAAAAAATGTTTTTGCAAAGGCAATTATTTTTTTTTCAAAACCATTTTTAGGCCATTATTTTAGTTGTCTATGACTGCCTATGTCTATTGGTTTCCCCCCTCCCCCATTCAAGTCTTTGGTGTGCGAAAATGAAACCTCTTTTATGTGGCCTTTTCTTTAATAGAAACTTTAATTAATTAGTCTTGAAAATTGATTTTTCCACATTTTCATGATACACTTCGGCGGCTGCTTAATTGCCTTCTGAGTGGTGGCGTCGCCGCCAATGCTTGAGGCATATCTACGCACTTTTTTGGGCTGGCCAACTTTTGGGAGTGCTATTTGCTATTCCCCATTTCGGAGTAAATTTCGAATATTTGAAATTCCTCGACTAACAAAATGTGACAAATTGTCGCCGATCATGGCTGCCCGGGGCCGGATAATTAGTGACCACTGAGCATACCACAAATCTCAAGTGTAAGACAAGAATTTTGCCACCAAAAAGAGCTGGGGGATAAAATTGAAGAATTGTTGTCCTTAAACAGATTTCAGTTAATTGTTTTGTATCTAAGGTGGCGGAGATTATTTTAGTTGCCGGTTTCGTAGTTGGAAGTTGTTAAGCAATAACAAATGGAGTCGTTTTGGGTCGTTGTATTGGTGAGCAATGGGAAAAGACCTTAAAGAGGTCTTCCGCAAGTAGTGGACCTCGTGGAATTTCTTTATAAAGAAAATTGATGTTCAAGGTATGTTCAGCATGAAATGCTTTTTTAAGGTCCTCCATGGATATGGAGATTAAATTTTAGATGAGTGCTATAGTAAAACGACTTATAAGAGATATTCGATAGGTCGAAAAAGTTCAACACAATTACAACTTATGAAAGACCTGGTAAGTGCCCTACATGTTTTTCCATCAGATAGGGACAGAGGATTGAAAAGGCCCTCCTCATCCGACAGCCGTTAAAATTATTCCAGTGACAGCCCCGTATATTGTTTATAAGCGTTCAAAAGCAATTTGGTGAGAATTTTCCAGAAAAAAAGTTATTCGTGATGGAATTCAAGCGTGATAGTGTGATTTCTTTATATTTTTTGCTGGAAAACCACAAGTGGCTATCGTTAGAGCACTCCAGCCAGCATTTAAATGTGAATAAATCTTTTGTGCCTCTTACCATCGCTCGTTACCTTGTAGATAATACTGGTAGCATAGCCCGACGTCAAGGAACTGGACTGAAGAAAACAGCAACATAAGCAGAAATGGTTGGAAAAGTAAAGAAGCGACTTGATCGAAACCCCTGTCGCAGTGGCCGAAAAAATGGCTTGTGAGCGGAACATATCGCAATATTCCATTCGGCAAATATTAAAAAATGAGCTCGGGGTAAAGCCATTGAAATTCCAAAAATTAAAGGACTTACACCGCAGCAGAAAGAAAATGGACTCAAAAGAGCTAAAGTGTAGCTTCGCTTGGCCGAAAGTGGTAAACTGCCCAATTTGATTTTCTCCGATGAGAAAGAATTTGTTGTCCAGCAGTTTGTAAACAAACAAAATGATCGTGTTTACTTGCCAAAGAGATTAGCTGAAATGTGCACCTTCGGTTGGCCACCAGAACTCAAGCGCCGGCTATGGTGATGGTGTGGGCCGCCATAACAGCCAATGATCGCTCTCCGCTCGTATTAATTGACAGTGGTACCAGTATAAATGCCGAATATTATCGCGAAAATATTCTGGAGGGTGTATTAAAGCCTTGGGCACGCAAATAGTTTGGACGCAGACCTTGGACTACATAAAAAACTACCTTTTGCACCAAAAATTCTTCGAAATCTTTAATTTTGAATTTTGCCGAGGAGGAAGTTAGTAGAACCGTTGCAAAATGGACCCCCATCCAATTTTTCTGTCCTATAATATTTTAAGGTCTCCATATGTGAACCCTAAAAACCAAAGACCCCAGCAGAGGCATTTATATTCAATTTGAGAATTTCAGCTCAGTTCCTTTCTCCAATACCAAATTTAGTACTATCAACCATTTGTACTTTTCATATAGATACAGCACACATTTCCAAAACTACCTCCATATCTTAATCCCAGATACCAACATAGAGCTCAATATGAAATTTCGGGATTCCTGCTCTATCCCTTCAACCAATACTTAATTTAGTACCATTTAGTACTTTTCACATACAAATATGGGACACACTTCCAAATCCAACTCCCGAACTCAATCCCAGATACCAAGAGAGACCTTAATATCTATTGCTTTACCCAATACCAAAATTGAGTACCATTTGGTACTTTTCGTACAAACATAGGACGCATTTTCAAACCACTTTAAATCTCATACACAGACACCATCAGTAATCTAAGTATCATATTTCACAATTTTATCTCTTTTCCTTCATCCAATACCAAATTTAGTACCATTTATTACTTTTCGTACAATTATAGTAAACATTTCCAAAGCCACCTCCACATGTCCAGCCTACAAATGAAAAGCGACCTAATATCAAATTTCAGATTTGAAGCATTGTCAGTTTACCAAATACCCAAATGTATCAAATATCGTACTATTTGGTACTTTTCACGCCGTCTTTGTTTTAAACTACCACCAAAAGGGATTCAAATACAAAATTTCAAAATTCCAACTTCATCTTGTCACCCCAAAATAAAACAGTTCCAAATTTAGTACCATTTAGTACAGTTGGCAAACTTAGTACACATTTTCGAAACCATCTTCATGTATCAAACCTACAATTATAGTACACATTTCCAAAACCACCTCCATATCTCAATACAAGATACCAACAGAGACCTCAATATCAAATTTGAGTATTTCAGCTCCATGTCTTAACAAAATACCAAATTTAGTACAATTTAGTACTTTTCGTACAATAATAGTACACATTTCCAAAACAACTTCCATATCTCAATCCAAGATATCAACGGAGAGTTCAATAACAAATTTGAGGATTCCAGCCCAATACCTTCACCCAATACCAAAAATAGTACCATTCAGTTCTTTTCGCACAATTAATGTACAAATTTTCGAAATCACCTTAATTTTTCCAGGCTACACATGGACAGCGACCCCAACACCAAATTTTAGATTTCAAGCACTGCAACTGTTCACCGAATTCCAAATTGTACTATATATAGTACTATTTGGTACTTTTGGTATTATTTAGCATGTTTTCGTGCTTTTCTTCTTATTAGTATGTCATTCTGAAAAAAAAAAAACAGTAAAGAAAGTCCTAAAGTCGGGCGGGGCCGATTTTATGATACCCTACACAACTTTGCTAATTTAGTTGAGCTCCACTTAATAATTAAAAGTTTTTATGGGAGAATTCAATCATACACGCTATGATTATAATTTAAAATTCAAAGGACTAAATATGCCGAAGCATTTGTATCTTTTAAATTCGGACTTGTATTCCCATTTGGTGCGATATTAATTTGAAATCGG